ATTGTTTTTCTCTGCTGAGTAGTACTCCATTGTGTATATGTACCACATTTTATTTATCCATTCTTCAGTTGAAGGGCATCTAGGTTGTTTCCAGGTTCAGGCTATTACAAACTATGCTGCTATGAACATTGCTGAGCATGTGCCCTTGTGATATTATTGAGCATTCCTTGGGAATATGCCCAACAATGGTACAGCTAGGTCTTGGGGGAGATTGATTCCCAATTTTCTAAGAAAACGCTGTATTGATTTCAAAAGTGGCTCATGTCTGCCTTTCTTTGTCTCTAGACTGGAGAGTCCACAGCTCTGGTTCTGTCCTTTTTGCACCTTAGCAAGCATATCTTTGACTTGTGTCACTTGCACTTAGTTTGCTAAGTATGAAAGAGACTATCCACTCCTCCCACCATTGTCCTGGAGCCTCAGGAGCCTCTAGGTAGAAGAGCAAAGTGAGCTGTGGTGGTGCCATTCCAGTACTCTGGAGGCAGAGTGGGCAGATCTCTGTGATCTCAAGGCTAGTCTGGTCTACAGAGAGTTTCAGGGCAGATAGGACTGTTAGCAGAGAAACCCTGTTTCAAAAACCAAACAAACAGAAAGAAAGAGAGGAAGGAAGAAAGAAGAAAGGAAAAGGAAAGGAAAAAGAAAGAAAAGAAAAGGAATTTGCACTATGAGGGGAATGTCAGGCAGCCCTGGGCATCTGGGAGCCCAGGACTAGGCTTTACAGATCTGGTTTCTGTGGAAACTGTAGATAGAATAAACTTCACTTGGATCTTCTGTCCTCTCTCAGAGTGTATTTGTCCACTATTACTGAAGTTCAGGACATTTGAGGGAATCCTCTTTTCTTTGAAAGGACATAGATGCCTATTGGTTTTGGGGTTTTCTGAAATATTTCGAATTTTTTTAAAATTAGCTGCTCTCTTATTTGGCCTTTGAGTGTAGCTGTCATGACTATTTTGGGCTCTTGGCTACATCTTCCTGAGAACCTGGGGCTATTTGTCGTGAATGCTCCTGGAGGCGCGGGGGGGGGGGGCAGAAGGAGACTGGCAGGGCCTTACTATACAGAGGGTCTTTTCCAGTGGTCTGCACAGCCAGGTCTTCATGGAACATACTCAGCTTAAGGACCAAGTAGCCATGCTGAGGCAGGAGAACAAGAATCGGACAGAAGATTGGGTCCTGCTGAAACACCACTTGGCGGCATTCAAATTGATCTGGGAGGACCAAGAGGAAGAGACCAGTGACCTCCAAACCCAGCAACAACAGGTAGGGGCAGGTAGGTGGGTCAGGCTAAGGTCTGGCACCATTTTCCCATTGGGGTCTCTGTCTGCCCATCCACTCACCTGTGCTTTCACCCATCACCTTACTCATCCATGCTCCCATCCAGCCACCCACCTGATGCTATCTGAGGTGTTCGCTTCAGTGTCCATGCACAAGTACTTCTGGGAAGTTTGCCTCCTCTGAGAAACTAAATTATTAGCAAACCATGCCTGCTGCTGTGCTTGAAACTCCGGTCCAGTGAGGGAAATGGGTCAATAACATATCACACCTACATGTCATTTTGATAGGTAGGATGCTGTGCACAGAGCTTTGAATGAGTGAATTGTGGGTCCTGAGGCTCATGTGATTGGGAGGGTTCATGTGAGATCACAGAGGGGAAGCAGCTTACAAGGAGGTGTATCCTGTGTAAATGCCAAAGGAGTCCTACTCATAGTCATAGATTTGGGTGGCATGTGGCCTTCTCCTGTCTTCATGAATCCCAGTGTGTTCTCCTCCCTTTGACTGACTATTGGTACACACTGATATAAGCCTGAGTAGCAGCTCATGAGCCCTGTTTTCTGTGAGTGCTCCTTGAGAGCTCTATGATTGTGGAGAATACAATCTGCAAGTGATTGGCTGAACAGATGGGGGCTTTTGACAAGCTGAGTGCTAGGGTGGGTGCTTTGCTGCTTCTGAAATAAATTCTCTAGCCATCTCAACAGAGTCTGGCCAAACAGAGCACACCCCCCACAGCAGTATTAATCCTAAGGGAATGATGGCAGAGTTGTGAGACTCTTCAATGTGCTGGTGTGCTTGGCCTACTATACTGTTCATTTGCATGATGTTGTATTCTGCTCACTTCTTTTTCTATGAGTGTAGTATAAGCTCTTTTGGCTTGCCTCACCTACCAGTAAGCAAATTTGATCCTTTGTATGTGCTTCACGTGTATTAGACTGTGTGCATGCCTGTATACAACTCTCTACTAAGAACACAATGTTTTAATGAACAGGAATTTGAAAGATTGGAGGGAAACCTGCAGGTCCTGTGGAAGCAGAAGGAGATGATCACCCAGGAAAAGGACTTGGCAAAAAAGCTGCAGCATCACTTTGAGGTCTCCCAAATGAGGTAGGAACCGAGGCTGGGGGGAGCAGGTGGAGCCTCGGGGGTACGTTGTTTTTGGGATCACTATCATTTATGGCCTCCTGCTCAAATGCATGGCTTCCAGCTACAAGAAGGGCAAGAACACTTCAGAGTATTGATCAGGTTGAGTGTACAAACAATTCTGTCCAGGAATCAATATGTTTAATACTCAGTGTGTCTGAGCAATGGTGTCCTTTCTCCCTTCTGAGTGCTCTGGTATGACCTGAGTAGGCTTTCCTTATAGTCACAGAGATCTGCCTGATTCTGCCTCCCCATGATGGAATTCAAAGTTGTAAATCACCAGGCCTTCCTGAAATTACATTTTGACTTAGGAACATCCCCTGTTGAAAAGAGATTCCTACCTTTGAATACTGTGCTGTGCAGCATTTTCCCATTTCCTGGGACAAGTGTTCTCTGGATTGAATAGGTTAAGGACTTTCAAGAATGAACCCAGGCAGATGCCTCAGCTGCAGGGAAGATCAGAACCTTTTCAGGAGTGTTCTGTAACAGATTGTGAAAGAGTCAGGATGCAGATTCCTAGCTCTGGTTAAGGAAATCACAAGTTTCTGTTTGATCCCAGAGTCCATCAGGGCCAGTGTTCTCAGGCACACATCTCAGGAAATGCTGCTCTAGGATTACTGACTGATTCTGTCTTGCATGTTTGTCATGTTCAAGGTGCCTCCTGGGCATGAGTCCTCAGCTATCTTCACAACCTTGTTTGAGTGTCCAGAAAGCAAGGCTGCAATAAGGCTATCAATAAAATGATGTGGTTGGTCAGTAATTCATCATGAATAATGAGTATCACTCTTGTGCTGATGACTTTGTTATTAATAAGTTGTTGCTTTTACAAAATGATGTCCCCAGACTGTAAAAGAAAGACCCTTTCTTTCTAATAGAACAGAAAAAAACATTACTCAGCCAAATTCTGACAGGTGTTAAGGGCTGAGGAAAGTTCTAGGCCCAACTACTCTGTGACTCTTATTCCTTGTGGGTAAAAACAACGACTTCAGTCAAAAGATCCATATTGACTATCCAGCACAGTTGAGGTGGTGGGAGGCAGCAGTTTAACAGCTGACAATGGCAGGTCCCCAGCAGGATTGTGTCCTAACTGCCTTTCCCTCCTAGGTCAGAGAAACTGACACATGAGCTGGAACAGGACACAGCCCAGCATGAGAGCCTGCTTCAGAAGGAGCTGTTAAACCAGGAGCCACCTGCTGAGCCCAATCTCTGGGAAATTCTGGATTATGATGCACTTTCTCCCTATTATTTTTTACCTATGTGTGAATAGGCCTTGGTTGTGCCTAGCCATTTACCCTGGATGCCTGCTTCTGGGCCTTGACTCCCTTTCCTTATTGACAATACTGATTGAGAAACTGATTAGGCCAAAGGAAGGCAGACACCTTGAAAGATGGCATCATTCACCCTAGGATCAAGGCCTCCTCAGAAATAGAACCCCATCATAGCTCTGAACTTTCCATGAAGCAAAAACCACCTGACCTCCAGGTCATCCAGACCCAATCTGATCCTAGTGTCTGTTGGCTCAGTACTCCTGAAGAAAAGAAAGCATCAAAATAAGACTGAGATACAAAAAAACTGACAAGATAATAACTCATGACCCTGACATCCACCAGCAAATGGCCCCAATGGGGAATACAACACCATGGATGCAGGAGATGTTGAAATACAAAACTTACTATGTCAGTTTATGGTCAAGGACTTTCACAAGCTGACTGAGTCCTCAGCCCTCCATTTGTGGCAGGAAATCAACTTGGAAGACTTTTTTGATGTCATGCTGTTATCCACACAAACCACACCCAAAAG